CCGGCCAGCCCAGGAACCGGTTTCCCCCTCGGGTTCGTGGGTGGCACCCCGAGCCCCCCAGCCGCGCGGCCCTGGGAGCGCTCCCGCGTCGTTCCCGCTCGGGTGCCCGCCTGTTACCTTCCCTCTGTCTCTCCTTGTCCGCCAGATTATCAGAGCGAGTATTACGGCCCTGGGAGCAATTACGATTTCTTCCCGCAAGGACCGCCTTCGTCTCAAGCGCAGACCCCCGTGGATCTCCCCTTCGTGCCCTCCTCGGGGCCGTCGGGCACCCCGCTGGGGGCCATGGACCACCCCCTGCCCGGACATCACCCCTCCAGTGAGGCTCAGCGCTTCACTGACATCATGTCGCACCCCCCGGGAGACTCGCCCAGCCCCGAACCCAACCTGCCCGGGTCCTTGCACTCCATGTCCGCGGAAGTTTTTGGCCCCAGCCCCCCCTTTTCGTCGATATCCGTCAACGGTGGTGCTAACTACGGCAATCACTTGTCCCACCCTCCAGAAATGAACGAAGCAGCTGTGTGGTAGCTTTAAAACGAACTGGGTCTTAAGTAAGTGATGATCATCTAGTCTGCTTATTGTTATGGTGTACAGAAATGAATTAATATAACATCTCTCCTGCCCTAAGACAATATTACCTTGGGAACGAACTGAATCCAATCGCTCCAAGGCAAGCTTTGCTCTAGACCAGGACAATCTCCATGTTATGGTTGTATCAAACAAGCGAGGGGACTTTTTTTGTACCATTGACAAAGAAACTGGGGAAGCTGTACAGTAAAGTGCTGCCATTACCGTAGGATGGCGTGAGTTTGATTTACCCTGTTGGATGTCATCCTAAGAGCCACAATCCTTAGAAACGTCTCGTTTTAAAAAACAAACAAAAAAAAAAAAAAAAAAAAAATTAATAATTTGAATGAAGGAAAGGTCAAAGAAAAAGGGGGAAAAAAAAAAAGCTTCCAAGAACTCATCTAGCTAGGTCCCGGTTTAAGATGGTTGGTGCATTTGGAATGCTGTTTGTTCTTTTTGTCTCTCAGAAAGTTCGACAACAAGAAACTCTTTTTAGCTTCAGCCATTTCAGCCTGCTGATGATCAGGTGGGACAACTTTTCTTTTTTCCTTTCTTTTTTTTTTTTTTCTTTGCTGTTTTGTTTTGGTTTTGGTTTGGTTTTTTTGTTGTTTTTTTTTTTTTTCCAAAAATAGCAAATACTAAATATTAAGCCCTCAGCACCAACTCTTCTACCTTCACAAAGCTACACGTACAAAACCTCCTCATCATAGCAAAGGTCACCACCCAGACCTCTAACGAAAGTGACTTGAAAAAACAAACAAACAAACAAAAAGTATTCTACCTTCACAGAGAGAGAAAAACTAAACAAAAAGACTCTATTGAACTAAAAACAGTCAACTGTTTACGTCTAATGTTAAATTCAGGAGCTCAATGTTTTACTAATAAATCCTGTTTTAGAAAAACCTCTTGTTCAAAAGCAAAAGATTTTGAGCAACCAACCAAAATAGTTCATTTTCTTTTCTGTAGATGTTCTAACAGATTGCAGGGCTTGTGGTTCACTGTGCTAGTTTGTAAAAGGTGTTGTTTACAGAAGGCAAAGAAAAAAAAAATCCACAAAACCCAGACAGTTGCCAAATAAAGTAAATATATAGCACAAATACTGTAAGGTGCTTTGCACCAGCAACCCGAGAAGGTGTTTAAAAAGTGTTACAAGGTTAAAAAGAAAAAAAAAAAAAGACAAACAAACATCTTTGCTAATTTTTAGTCCTGTTGAACATTCATGGAATTGTTAATATGACTTATATAGACCCACACAGGTTTTATTTTTGTGTCTTTAAAATAAAAGTCCAAAATATTTAAATTTTATGGTCAAATATGCAGTCAACAGCTGCTACTTTTTTCTTTATATATTAAATTTCTCATATGTCTTTTATTGTTCTAATAAACCTAAGCTTGTGTGACCTCCAGTGCATATTAGACCATTCACTGTATGAAAGAAAACATGTTGGATAAAATTTGTGCGTTTTTAATAAAATTAGAAAATCTGATGTTTAGATAACTTGTGTTTCATTCGATGTTTTGAGCAATTTTTGAAATTGATTCTCTTGAGTAAAATAGCCCTGAGAGAGAATGATCCACTCTGCTGATAGTCCTGTAGAGCTCTTTTGCTTCGGTAGGAGCCTAAACCCTGGTGTCGATGCAGGGAGCGGCCAGAGGCAGCTCCAGCCTTTCTTTCCATCTCCAGGCTCAGTGGTTGAAGTCCAAATACCCTGTTAGGCTGTACATGGAATTTTAAAATTGGAAACTAATCAAATTATTAAATATCCTCAGTTATTCGTGGTCTGTGCTAAGAGAAAACATTCAAAATGCTTATTTGATGCGTAAACAAAATTGTGTTGTGAATGTAAAATGCTTGCAAAGATATGGTTTATAATTGATCCGGTTTTAATTAATTCTCCAAAGATAATTTTGGGGTTTTTTTTTCCTAATTGGATGGTTTGAACACAGCGTAACCTCAATGTCCTGAAAGTAATTTTAATCCTTTTTTTTTTCTTTAGAGCTGAGACAAAGTCAATTGTTTAACAGCGTTCGGTCTTTCTGAAGTTCACTAAAGGGCAGAGGGGGAGAATATTTTTCTTTGCACTAGATAGAGACTCATTTTCTCGGAGAAAAATGAAACAGAAAAATTCTAGAGCCTTGTGAAATGCCAGATTTCGTGTTTTAATTAGAAATCATTGCAGAATCCTAAGTATTCAGTTCTTCAAAAGCGAAAGTCTCACTTGTTCCAGGAGGACTTTGACGTGTGTTAGAAACAAAGAGTCAGGTTCGGTTCTGAAAAGTCGCTGGTTTCAGTGTTTTCCACCTGCTGAGCTGATGGAATGGGATGATCTCTAATTGCATCTTTTCCTTCGTCTCTCAACTAACCGTGGCTCAGGCTTCTTTTTTATTTCATGTAGACACGGAATTTGACGCTAAACCCCAGACTTCTACATTCCCAGTGATTCCATTATTTATCTCTTTGGACTGGGGGGGGGGGGAACCCACAACCTCAAAATGCTTTAAAGTTGTATGTTTGTAATATTCAATGGTGATTTTTGATTTTGTTCACTACCTAATTTCTATGCCCAGCAGAGGGGCCAACTAGATGAAGCAATAGTTCACTTTAAACACAAAATGTCTTATATAATAATAGTATAAAGATAAAAACTATCTGCAAGGGATCTGTTAGTGTTTCTAAAAAAAATAATTCATGCTTTATTAAATACAGGGGAGACTTCTTAAACTCCTGGGCTCCGTGTCTAACTCATTTATTTGTCTTTTGTACTATTGCCATGTTTTGTTGCTCTGGTTTGCATTTTTATAAGCAAAGGAATGGGTGATTTATTTATTCCAAATTTCTACTTATCTGGGCATGACAAATACTGCTGTTTGTGCTTCTGGTCTAGGCTGCTGGTTTATTGCTGAATCAATTATTTGAAATTAGAATTTCACCAAATAGGCTTGGTTTGTAAGAAAAACATGTCTGCCAAGTGATTGGGGGTTTCAGATATTTTTTTTTTCTTTAATTTGGTAACGAGGTCCTTGTACAGTTTATCCCGTGCTCGTTTGGGCAGCGATGTGATACGGTTCAGTTTAGGTCAGTGGCTCTAAAAGGGAGGGAGGAGAGCCTGTCCTTTTGTCAATGCTCCCATCCCTTCCCCAGGGGCTTTGGGGGGAGCTCAGGAGCCATTCCCGTGCTGGAGGCCGAGCGTGTCCCTCTGTCCCTCGGCGCTCCCGGGGCTCCGCTCCGGAGGCCCCGGCCCTTTGCAGATTTGAATTCCGTGCTCTTCAGTGCAAGCTCGGTGCTTCTGAAGACCCTAATCCAGCAACAATTGCACAGTCAAAACTCCTTTTGAAATCATTGTCACGTTGGGTTCTTGTAAGCCCTTGTTTACAAGAGCATTTCCATTGACTCCGGGCGGGCGTTCCGTGGTGAATGGAGGTCTGTGGGAGAAGGGCCTCGAGGAATTGCTGCTGCTGGGGTGGGTTCTCCAGGAGGAGTTGCTGCTGCTGGGGTGGGTTCTCCAGGAGGAGTTGCTGCTGCTGGGGTGGGTTCTCCATGTGCATGGTCCTTCTCTCCCGGCAGGAGCGTGGGCGTGCCACGCGCGGCTCTCCGTGCGCGCCGTGTAACGCCACGAGCGCTTTCCGAAGTAATTGCTCTCTTTTGATCTTTTCCTCCCTCCGCTGCCGCCGGTTTTCCCGTGACCTTGTTGCCGTGTCCCAGCAGAGGGGACGGAGCCCTGGCTGCTCGGCCGGCTCGGGATGGCAGCCGTGGGGCGAGCGGGGCCTGCGGCGCGGAGCGGGGAGCTCGGGCTGGGAACGCGCCGGGCTGAAGACTCGTGCAAACCCCCGTGGCAGACACGTCCCCGTCACTGGGAGAAAGGTTCAAGGCACGTTTTGTGAGTATGACCCATATTGAGCTAATCTGTGTGAAGGAGGTTTTTTGGGGGTTAACAGAAATGTCTGTAAAACGCCAGGAGTTTCCAGCGGCCAAACAGCTGCTTTTGGCCCCCACCAATGCTCCTCTCTGCCCATTCCAGGCCCTGCTGGGATCCACTCACCCAGACCTTTGCTTGGGGATGGAAGGGGATTTGGGAAGATCTGTGTCCCAGGAGGAAGAATGTACTTAAATTGTGATTTGTAGATGAATAATGTATATATATACATATATATTATTTTAATATGCATCCCCAGATGCTGAGCGATGGGTACATGATACAAACTGATAAATAAATATAATTTTAAAATATCAGTGGTGATCTACATACTTTTGCCATCCAAGTACTGGTGGGTGTTGCAGTGTCTCTAAGAATGACAAAAGGAACCATAGTCTTGATTTTTTTCCTAGAACAAGTGTGTTGCCTTCAGGCTTTGCATGTTCTTAAAATATGAAATTTAAGCATTTGCAATCTCCTTTTCTGTTACTACCTCAGTAGATAAATTCATATCTATTAAGAATAAACAATTAATACAAATCCTTATACGCTGGTGAGCTGGGAACAGGGAATTGTGATGCTGGAGCAGGTTGTGGAAGGTCTTTTCTTTGTGTCTGCCATGGCACTGGGGCGCTCAGCATTCTTCATGCCAACAAAACACCCATGAAGTTATAAATGAAACTAATGGGACAATTAAAATATATTTTTATTATAAATCCTTCTGGGATTGCCATCTTTGTTTCTTTGTCAATAGTATTTGTGGTGGTTTAGCTACAAAATACGGGGTGGTGCTTGGAAAGTGGAGTTTGGTGCTGCCTGGAGAGTTTTTCGTTCATTAAATGCAGAATTTCAATGCAGAAATTGAAGAGTCAGTGTGGCCTTACGGTGAGGTGGCCTCCAGAATTCTCAGTCTGTGTCTTTGGGGTTGCTGGGACTGCGATGGTGGGGAGCTCCTGGGACTGGTGTCCCTGCAGTGTTCTTCCCACCGGCGCATGGGATCACCGGGTGGATGCAGGTTGTTGGTTTTATTGGCATCTCGTGGTTCAATTCTTGGAGCATCCCCTGGCCTTCTGCATGACATTCCTGGGACAAGGGGCATGACTGGGCTCTCTTACACCTTCTGTTACAGGCTGCCATCAAATGCAGGACCAGCTCTGCTTTGGTGGTGTTCAGTGCAGTGTCCAGAGCGTGGTTTTGGCAACTGCAAGAATTAGGGATATTTTTCCTGCTTGGTTTTACTACAAGCTTTACTACTTCCTGCAGAATCTGCCCCTTTACAGGGGCTGCTGGGATCTCACATGGTTTGGAATGCAATCCTTGGCTGTGCTCACCAAGGAGCCCAGGTTTGCAGGGCAGGTCTGGCGTGGTTTTGTCACAAGGTTTTCGTACAGTGTGAGAACCGTCACCCAGCACAGACTGTAAACCCGGGCTGGAAATTCCCCCCTGGCTCTGACAGAGCTGGAGTGAGAGGAATTCCAAGGGGTTGTGGTGAATTGTGGGGAGTGAAGCCCATGGGAAATGCTGCCTTGCACACTTGGCTTGTGCTCAGCATCTCCAGAACATCTGTGTGCTGCTGTGTCTGTGCTCAGCAGAGCACATGTGGGGTTTGCACATGTTGGTTTTCCTTGTTGAAAATCAGATTTTTTGCTCCATCCAAAACAAGTTTTCATCTAGTTTTTAAATTGACTTTGGGTGGCCTTTAAATTTCTTATCTGCTGAAAGCATCTTTAGGCTGTGGATCTCTTCAGCTCCACTCTACTCCTTCTATTTTTCTATGTAAGAACCATTAAGGGTTGATAAAATCTTTAAAACAATTGTGGATTTTGAATGAGTGATGGGTTAGAAATATCAGAAGTACTCAAGTAAATAAAAAGACAGAAGAAAAATAGTAATAAATATTTATAAGGAGAGTTTTTTTATGTACATAATCTAAATTTCCTGTTACGTAATTTGTTTTAGTGGTGGGTTTGCGTGTGCTCTTTTCTGATTTATTTTTTTCTTCTTTTTTTTTTTCCTCTTTTTTGCTGATAAATTGTCTTTCTGATTAAAAAAAAAAAAAAGAAAAATTTTAAATGAACTGGCACGACCGAAACGAAAAAGGTCAGTTTGGAAAATGACATTTTCCGGCCAAAGTGTTGGAAAGATAAGCTCAGCCCTGGCTTGTAGCTGTTTTTGGCCAGCACGGAGCCCTCTGTATATGGGTCAAACCCTAACCTTGATAAAGCAATGCAATTAAATTCAGCAGAGGCGGCTCCAGGGGTGGGTGATTCCCGCGGATCTCGCTGGGAATCCCGTCACAGACAGGATTCTGCAGCCCCACTTCTCCAACACGGCCCTTCATTTATGTATTTCAGTAAAGAAACGGCTCTGAAAAATGGATTGGTATTACTAACCTGTAATTATACAGGCACGGGAGGATGATACGGCCCTTCCCTGCCAAAGCTTCCATCTGATCTGACAGCTCCCCAAAAGCTGACAGGATCCACAAATGAGTGGCAGCAAAAGGCTCTGAGTGGGAGAAATTAAACCTCCTTTTTGTAGCACGGACCATTCGACGTTCATTTATTTATCTG